TCGGTCCTCTTGTGCTACCTTTCGGCGGAAAATGAGTGTTTGGCCATGCATTGTTTTTTCTTCTGCGGTGAATAAAACCCTGCAAATCTTTTTTTTTTTGGAACACCCTGTACTGCTCTATGTTCTCCAGCCTTCATGAGCGAATTGGATATTCGCGGCGTCCGGCGGTCAAAAGGCGAATCCGTAAGAGTAAGTTCGGAAACAAGCGATGGATGGATGGATGGGTGATGGATGAATCCGGCTGAACCCTTTGGATCGGGCGGTAGCTTACGCCACCTAGCCATTTTGTTTTACCATTTAAGCTTAGAATATTTAAATGTGAAATATACATTCACTGCGCAGTGCAAAGAAAGTGAGGCTATGAAACCCCCTTGCCATCAGTGAATAAGAAAATACCTAGTTTTCTCTCGATTTCTGCCACCATTCACTTAATCTTTGCTTGGTAATCTCTACAGTCTTGAAATCCACTCTCCCTTCGCTGTCTCTAAAACCCAATGACTTTATTAAATCTATGTTGTCTTCGGTAGGCATAGGGTGAAGCCCTTTACAGTAGAGTATCAAGTGCTCAGCCGTCTCGTCCTCCTCTCCACAAGCAGTGCACACTGTATCCATTTCCTGGTACTTCACTCTGTATGTTCTGGTTCGCAGAACACCCGTCCTCGCCTCAAACAGCAATGAGCTTCCCCTAGAATTGTCATAAATCCTTTCTTTGGCAATAACTGTTTTGTTTAATCTATAGCTTTCCAGAGCCGCCTTTGTCTGCATTCCTTCTAGCCACCGATCTCTTTCTGTGGCCTTACCTTTCTTCTTAACTGAGACTTGCTCTTCCGTAACTCCACTATAGCCTAAAAACTTTCCTATTAATTTCCTACTGCGCTGTCTCTACTTTGTGTCTATACTCCTCATGTATAAATAGCTGGAAACCTTTCGTGCCCATTGCTCCCCATCCATTTGCCTTAACCGATCCTCAAATTATATCTTGCTCACAGCTTCTTCGCCCTCAAACGACGCCCATCCCATGTCTCCTTGTACTTCCTGGTTTGGCGTTTTGCAGTGTGCCCCCAAAGCCAGCCTACCTACTCGGCGCTGTTTTATTTCTAGTCTTGCATCCACTTCGGATTTCATGCATAGCACTGCGTTCCCAAAAGTCAAGCCAGGCACCATGACCCCTTTCCAAATCTCTCTCACCACCTCATACCTGTTGTAATTCCAAAATGCTCTATTTTTCATTACAGCTGCATTTCTGTTGCCCTTACCAATTATATACTTTTCATGCTCACTGAGATATTCTGCACCATCACATATCCATACTCCTAGATACTTGCATTTACTAGCTCTTTCAACTGTAATATTTTGTATCTTCAGCCTCTCAACTTCATCATTGTTAAAAATCATGACGGGTGATTTTTCACTACTGAATTCTAAACCTAATTCCTCTCCTTCCCTACCACAGATGCTCATTAATTCCTGCAGATCTATCCTGTTGTTAGCCATTAGTAAGATATCATCTGCATACATCAATCCCGGTAAGGATTGCTGAATTTTTTGGCCCAGCCTACTGTACGAAAGGTCGAATCCAAGCCCACTCTTCTCTAGTCTATCCTCCAATCCTCTCAGATACAACATAAACAGCAAAGGCGAAAACGGGCACCCCTGCCTAAGGCTTCGTCTTATCTCTATTTTCCCTGTCGCCTTTCCTTCTCATGTTATAATCACCTTGTTATCTTTGTAAATGTTCCTTAATAATGCTGTTAGTCTTTCATCTAGGTTTAAGCTCTCCATTATGTCCCACAGGTTCCTTTGGTTCACATTGTTATAGGCACCCTTGATATCCAGAAATGCCAGCCAGAGCTGTCTGTTTTCTTTTTGCGCTATTTCTAGAGAAAATAAATTGTCCTCCAACCTTCTTTGCTTCCGAAACCCGTTCTAAAACTCGCCCAGTATGCCCTCGCAATCTACCCATTCCTCCAGTCTTTTCTTTATAATCTGCATTACCAACCTGTAAATAACCGGTGTCACGGTTATGGGAAAATAATTCCTAATGTCAGACTTATCTCCCTTTCCCCTTGTATATCATACTCATCCTATATATCAGCCTCCATTCATCTGGAATGTTCCCTTTCTTTATCATAGTGCTCACTACCTCCCTTAGTTTTGCCTTAGATTTAGAACCCAAATTCTTCACCAGCTTGATTGGGATACCATCTGTGTCTGTCGACGTGCCACAAAGGACTCTTCGTTTCACCTTTTAGCATTCTCTTTGTCCAAAATCCCCGATGTCACAAGCTGGACTGCTACTTCCTTCGGTTCTCCTAACTTCCACATGCGCCCGTTCCCGAAATTTCTCCTCCATCACTTCTCCTATGTGTTGTATCGCATCATCTCCCTCTAATTGATCTCCCTGACGCGAGAGTATGAACCTCTGTTTAGCTTGCGTCGTTTCACCAAGTGAGTTCAAGTGCTCCCAAAACTTCTTGGCTGCGTTTCTATCTTTCTTGCTTACATTACTCATCCATTCTTCACCCTTTCTCTGAATTTTCGCATTGATCAAACTGGATGCCTCTCGGCGACATGTTATAAAAGTGTCCCATTTTTTTTTTACTTCTGTTTCTGACTCTCCACATGCTTGGAATGCCTGTGTTCTCTAGAGGCTTCCCGACGTTTTTGTATTGCTTGCTTCATTTCTTTGTCCCACCAGCTTTTTGGTCTATGTCCTAGCTTCCCCTTTCGTTTACTCTGAACTTTGTCTAGTTCCACAGCAAAACACCTAGTTAGGCTCTCATAGATCCAATCTGTATACCGTTGCCCTGAAACTGCATCCTCTATTCTTTCAGCAACTATTTCCAACTCTTTGTCGCTGCAGAAAGTTTGCTTTGAATTATGTTGTCTAGTTTCAGCATTTACTTCTCTGGCAAAATTCAGCTTAATATGTTTGTGATCACTACCAAGACTTTTCGAACCTTCTTCATCTATTTCCATTACTTGTAACTTACCATATATTTTGTGTGACATGAGTAAGTAATCTATAGTTGAATGTAGATTGCCAGTTTCCCACGTTATGTGCCCGCCACACTTCTGACTGGTATTACATAAAACTAAGTCATGCTTTTCCACCAGTTCTAGTAATATGCTTCGATCAAAATGGGTAATCGGCACCACCTAGTAGCTCGAAGAGAAAGCTGTGGCGGCAGGTTCGTTCTCATGGAGAATAGAAGGGTAGGAGAGGGCATGATGTCAGCCGCGTAGCCTCCACAAGCCATGCCCCCTTGACGCCTCGCCTTTCTCATTTTCCTCCTTACTATTCTCACTTATCAGCCCAACATGACCACATCACGTGACCGTAGCAAGCCTTCGTCTAGCTTTCGATCTGATAAAACCTACCGGACGGAGCGCGCGCAAGCCTGCAAGAAATCCTCCTACAATCAACCATCCATCTCGCACGTGACATGTCACGCACACCAATCGCCAGAGACCTGCGGTCACGCTGGGCACAATATTGTTTAAACTTTTTATGACTAGGCTTCACCAACATTGCAACGTGCCCCCTCCTTGTTTGTTCTCCAGCCTTTACGAGCGAATCCGGTAGGAACCCGGCGAATCGGATAGGAATCCGGCGGCCTTGGGCACATTGCATCGTATCGCTATCGGGGCGAAAAACGATCTGCTAAAACTCTCTATCTGATTCGGTCGTAAAGGCTGGAGAACGAACCTGCCGGGAAAGTAGGTTCGGAAACACGCGAGCACAGGTCGAGGCACAGTTATAAAAAAAACTTCGTTTCAGCTTCCGTCCGAGCGCAGCCAAAGGCGGAGGGACGGTTCGCAACTTCGAGAAGAGCATTCTTACGCACCACAAAGTAGTTCACAAAAGTAATTTCTTTTAAAATAACTGCTTTGTGCGTAAAAACTGCGCAATGTTCCAGATGTGTGCTGCTGAGAATGATTTGCAACTAAAAGAATCAAATCTTTGAAGTTTATATTTCTATTAATATACGTAAATGCATGTGGTTTGGTGAAAACATGTATATCCGCTGGCAACACCGCTGCAGCGCTCGGTTTTTATGTGTGATTTCGTTCCCGTAGTCGCCGAATCATGTGCTTCGCTGCTTTCCTCACCGAGTCGCTTCAAAACGTCCTTTCGCAAAGGCACCTTTGGGCGTCAGGCGCGAGAAGTCGTGATGAATGTCTACTTTCAAATTCGGCAGGAGACTCCGGCCGCGTCGTACCGATGCGTTGTAAACAAGCAAAACGTCCGGGCCACTGCAATCCAGATACGCGGCGAAATCAGGGCACCTCTTTACCTGCCGATCACATTAAACGCCGAGAAGCTGGTGGAAAGGACTGCTCCTCGAGCCCTGGTATATCCAAACAATACAAGGAAACATCAACGACCGGGTCATCGGGGACCTTGCAACGTGTACTTACAACTCGAAACTATGCCGAACAGGTGGAAAGCTCAAACACAGATGCCAGCGGCCAGCCTGCGTACTGACATCCCCTGTGACTAAGTTTCAGAACGTGAAAGGACACTTTTTAAACCTGTAGCAGACGATATCGTTGATACATCCGTAGCAGACGAAATACTCGGCGAGCGCGGGCGGCGCGGCTGATCGGCGGCGCGGCGGAGTGATACAAAAGTGCAGGCGAGATCGCGTGACCTATTGCCGGCATGTGATTGGCTCCGGCCGCACGTAGCTTTGGCTGCGCTCGGACGGAAGCTGAAACGAAGTTTTATAGGTCGGGTCATGTAGGTTGCTGTTGCCAAGTCACGACGGTGTCATTTACAACGTACTTCTTTCCATCATTCGATCTGCCAGCAAAGAAGCACCAAATGCTTTACTGCTCTCTTCCTTCTCGAATCTCCATACTAATATTTAAAAAATAAAAAATAAACGTTTTCATAGCTAATTATTAAACGCCGGTTCGTTCACACAGCGCCTGGTTCAGAGCACGAGAGTTGGTCGTGGTTCAGAGCTCCAGCGCAGGAGAAAACCGCCGCTTACCTCGGGTTTCTCGCCGGTTTCTTGCAAACGCAGTGGAACTTCCCTCCGAAGTCGATGTACAGGTCGTCTTCAACGATATGAAATATTTTCCCGATAACCACCTTGCCTGCAGGATCGCCAAGCTGCATCAACTTGGAATTTCGGAGCAACGTCGTGAACCGCTGAGGGGCTCGCGGTTCGTCTTCGCCGACCTTGATCTCTTGGAACTTCAGAAACGCTTCTGCGAAGCTGCCCTTCTGCTTTTCTGGTCTTACTTCGGGGTTTGGGTCTTTGGTATGTTCTGTCGAGGTACTTTCAAAGCGTCGCAAGCAGCACGAGTGCGATGGACGTAGCTTGTTCCAACGCAGCACAAACCTGAGGCTAGCCATGTGACCGTGCAAGGTTGTTTCGAGTCAGATTCACAGCACGATATTGACACGGAAACGTGCGGACATCAGTTGAAGCGTTCAATGTACTTCATTGAAGTATAACTTACACCGAGACTTGATGGCAAAATTAATGAATACGATTGAAAAGCACACGCCAAGATCGCCTCACCGGCGGTGCAGATTCGCTGGCTTCGCCGCAATGCTCATACACTAAAGGCGACGATCGCGACGCCTATAAGTAATACCATTTATTCAATGGCTTGAATACGTCACAAAATTTTAAAAACAATTCGACTAAACTAACGCTTAAATCAGTATTTCACACAGCGACTTTGTTTCCTGTAATCATGAAAGTAAATCCCCTTCGCGAATCCGATAAGACCGGAGAAACCGGAGAAGACCAATAGGTGCTGCCATCTAACCTGCACTTTCGAAACTAAGATATTGACTAGCTGCAACAGTTTGTTGTCTGCCGTCTGCTGCTGTTCAGTGAGCTTTGTGAGATCTGTTTCTCTAAACGTCTGCGCTATTTCTCATACCACTCATTCGCCGTGATAACCGACAAGCGTGTAGTATGTCTGACGCAGCTGACGCTTTGAAATACTTCATGATGGTGGGAAAATTGAAGGTACGCACTGCTACGCGATGACTACCGTGACGGTCCAGGTGATCGCGAACCTTTTTTTGTGAAGAAACTTTCACTGTGTATCAATAGTGCGAGCATACAACCAGATTGGATAAGCGTTTTCTTTTCGCGTTTAGGACATCCGGAGGACAGGCTGGGTCCTAAGAGGAGTCCCCGACCCCGAGAGAATCGCCGGTCACATGTACCGCATGGCTATCATGGCAATGATGCTTGGCAACAGTCCAGACGCGGGCATCGATAAGGACAAGTATGCTTGCCAGAACACCGTTGCAGCGAACACTGTTCGATGTCACCATACTCGTAACAAGTGCCACAGATGTGTCCCCAATTTTTCTTCTTTTTTAGATGCGTGAAAATGGCATTGGTTCACGACATGGCAGAATGCATCGTGGGAGACATAACACCAACTTGCGGCGTCAGTCAAGAAGAGAAGTTCAAGAGAGAGGCAGTGAGTACTCGGCGGGTACACCCAACTTGTGTACTTTGTTTCCTTAGAAAAAAAAAAAACAAAAAAACATGCATTTAATATTGTTTTTTTTTTTTTTTTTTTTTTGTTGCAGAGTGCTATGCAAGACCTTGGTCACTTGGTAGACTCCGTTACAGAAAAGGAGTTCACTGGTCTCTGGCAGGTAAGTTGCAACAGTACAGTCAAACAGTACTGGAAAAATGTTAGTTATACTCAATTTCACCTTAAGATAGACTACAGCCATGGAGGTAGAAGGAAGAGGAGGCGACAATCGGTTCAAGCCAGCCAAACGAGAAAATCATAAATGAAACCGGAAGAAGAGGTCGTGCTCAGTGGGAACGCCCCCAAGGGTAACCAAGTTCGTCCAATGGCATCCAAGGGTGCCCAAATCTGTCGAATAGCACCTTTTGGTTCTGTTTGTTTTTGGTATTCGTTGGGGGTGTCCCTCCAAACCGGAAGCCTCCCCCGGCTTCACATGTGGAGACACAATGTCACCTCCAGAATCTTCCTACCTCCATGACTGCCGCGGACACTACGCTGTGAAAGACTCCGAAAGAGCAACTACGTGCCCACTGCCCAGAGTGTCACTGCGGTACCAGAAGGTCATGCGACACTCGTACTGCATTGGATTGGCTTCGGTGGCTCTTTGCATCTTCTGTAGTCCATCGTGGCGCCTTTTCGCGTGAGAAGCCGTGGCAGCGGAAGCGCAATGGACGTATCTTTGGTTCTTCACGCCGACAGGTTGATGGCGACGTTGCACGAGGGCTGGGGCAGACCTCAAAAAGGTCATCTAGTGTTCTACACTTGTTATATATCCCAAAAAACAAATTTAACATCTATCAATCACACTGCATGCTGGCTCCCGACAAGAAACCTTCCCGGCTTTTAGAAGCTGCAACCACTGCATTTCTTCACAAAATCGACGAGGCATTGACATCCTAAAATTAATCTACCATGCATCCATTTAGTTGGGTGGAGAATAAAAATAAGATTATTTAAATCGGGATCTAAGCCACACCAATTTCACTATGATGATTTTCCAAACGAACTTCTTTCTCACAAAAATTATTTTCTGCAAAACCAATATCAGAAATGAGTTTTTATTATTGTTTGTCTGTAATTTGATGATGTCGCAATAATTTTGTTTTCGATAAAAAATAAATAAATAAATAAACACGCAAATGAAAATGTATGACAGGCTGAACACAAGCAAAATGTGGTGCTCTGCTGCACTAATCGAAGAGGTGAGCTTCGTTTCTATCGTTCACTTCTTTCATCAGTCATGCATGGCATCTAATGCAAGCATATCAGAATGCAAAGGAAACAAACAAAAACTTGTATGCGTGCGTGCACGTGCGCACAGACCGACAAAGGGAGTGACAGAGTGGCATGCACAGAGATCTAATTGTACATGTGAAGGTGTTCTTACACTGGTCAGTATATGTATGTTTTGTCTTACACAAGCCTTTTTTATGAGGCCATGCCACCACCTTGCACACTTTAAAAGCAAAAAAGTCGCCGTTATTAAACAATTCGCAAACCATTCTTGAGTTCAAAAACCATATTTTTTATGTCAATGCACACTTTTGGTGCAGCAAAAATACCTTTAGTACTTAGTTTGCAACCAGCCTCAGAAGCAATGGCAACAGTGGCGCTGTGTGCACGAAGCTGATGGAAAACCATTTGGCGGGAACGAGTCGTTTCTTCGCGACTTTAACGTAAACTTCGAAGTTATTCTTTTGTTTTGCTGAAGTATTACAGCAAATAAAGCTTTCTCAATAACCATCAAGCTCCTCTTGTTCTAGTATGACATAGTTTATATCAAGAAAAAAGTTTCCAATTACACTGCACTTCACTATATACGTAAAATCCCAAGTGATGCCCCACCCCTGAAAGGTAACAGCCGCCCCCCATTTTTGGCTCGGTTTGCTTTTTTCTTTTGAACACCAAAAGATAGCCCATTCCTAGTAATCATAGTGTTAGAATCAATGATGACCTCAACCTAAATGTGTCTAATTAGCTATGGCGGGATATAAGCGAACATTGCCGACTTTGAAGTAGTCATCTGTGGTTCGTTGCCCCTCACCGTGATAACAAGTTTGGCAAGGACAAATGATCTAAAAATAGCACTGTTTCAACTTTTCTTGGTTGCACACCGTAAGTTATCCCATGCCTTATTTTCACCCAGTTTTCTCACAATTTTAGGTGGGCTATCTCTTGGAATATTGCGGTAAATAAATTTAGTAAAATTTTCTTTTACACAGTTTTCAGTAATTGGGAGGATTGAAGAATAAATTTCCCATTCAGAAAATGACTAATGAAAAACAAATGCCTTTTTTAGGTAAATTGATTTAAATATATGTACGCTTCATATCCAATTTAAATTCAATGAAAAAAACATGATTTATTCTGGTTTAATTTTTTTCCCTTTTTTTGATTGAGATGTACCTGTTATCTTGCATTTATTTGGTCAAGAACAATTCCAGCATCTTGTTTTGCAGTCACCTACTGGCTACCGGCAATGCCATATGTGAAGGAGATTTCCATGTCTGGAGATGGCAGATCAAAAAAGAAAGCAAATCTAAACTGCCAAACTCAAACATTGATTGCCCAGTTGATTCCAAGCTTTATCATACTTTTCTTTATATTCACATTTCTCACGTTGTGTACTGTCCGAACCTTTCTTTAGGAAATAGACTGCATGCCATGCTGGTTCGAAAATTTCATTGACACGTACGATGGAGACGAAATGGGCACTGCATACCCGCGAGTGTGGGATGGTGTTTCAGTTTGTCCCATCGGAGGGTCATCGAGATAAATCCGGAAAATTCACCATATTCAGGAGAGCACACAGTGGCAAGGAGAAAATTAATTTCCACCATTTTCAATGCTTTGCTCGGTCTGCCGCAACGTCTTCCTGGCTGACAGATTATCTGAACATCTTGGCAGTGCTGTAAACTTCTGTGTTCTTGCAGCCATACCTCGCAATGATTTGCTTAGGCAACTTTCCGGTGCGAAGCGATTCAAGTACTTTTGCCCTCTGGTTGTATTTCCTGCTCATTTTTGAGCAAGCTTTGAATTGTTTATCATTTGATGGTCCGCTGTCAAATCACGTGGTCGCAGAAGTGCAATACGGCAGGTTAGCTTCACTGCATTGTTGAGATGACTTCTGGAAAAAGTCCGGATTTATCTCGACGAGCCTGTATATGGTGTGCCTGGCACAAAAACAAACACAGTGCGCAAAGCGCCAGTGTAGAATACGTCACCCGTGCCGATGCAGTGGCAGACATGATCGGGAGCCCAAATTTCTTGCATTGTGTGACGTGGGTTCATCGTCGTCATTGCCCCACGAAACAACGGCGAGTTGAAAAATTCATGAACTTTCTCCCTGCCAGACACAACGCATAACTATTGGAGCACTTAACGACGCAGCAGTTCATACTGTCAACCCAGCGCAACCTACCTTCGGTAGCGGCCGCGCACTGATCGCGTTGCATGAAGTGTATAGTCATTGTGCTTTTTGCTTTCCCACCACGTGGTGCGGTACCCCGAAGGAGTACGAAGCACAAGAGACACCAGAATCTCAAGCCGTGAAGGACCTGGACAAGTTCGACATGATTCTGCAAGCTCACGAGTATGAAGTAAGGATGGAAGATCCCGGAAAGTTGCAAGAGTTTTTCGACAGTACCAATGGCAAGTTGTGACGCCAGATGTGCAACTCCTTTGTTATTCCGCATTTGTTTTTTAAACCAGTTCCGATTCTTCCCATTGCAGGAAAGTTCAGGCATCCCAAAGTTGTCCAGTGGGTTGAAGAACTCTACAAGCTGCGTTCAGATCACATAAGCGCGGCAGAGAATGGAGATCATCGGTGAGATGTCCTGTAACACCACTCTTCTGCCTGCCGCATTTTATTTTTATGAATAAAACAATCGTAGCATTTTATTTATACACTCCACTGTACACGCATCAGATTCTTAAGCCTATGAACTCCAGAGTCGTGTGTCACCTTCCGAATATCTTCTTTTGCAAATAGTCTCTCTTGGCCTGTGAGTCCATGCTCAGACTAGAAAACTCGTTGTGCGGTATCTGAAGAAGAAAAACGGCACACTGTGACAATTGGTCCATGATTATGCTTTTGAACTTCCTGACCTTTACAACATGGTAACCCAGAATTTCCAAATGCCTAAGTTTTGTTGCAGTGTCCCCAAGGACGTGGTCTTCGTTGCTACAGAAATCTCGTTGGTCCAAGAGCACGATGGCATGTCTGTAAAAGGACAAATTAATCTCAGTAAAATGAACTCTGGTAGACTATTTTTTCCTTGCATGTGCATGTTCAGCCAGCATCAAAATGAGCTGGCTCGACGAAACGACGGCCAGAGCTGCAAAAATTCTGCAATAAGCCGTTGAGAGTGAGGCGAGGGGGGCCGTTGCGATTCCATGCACGGGGAAGGCTGGTAGTAATGATAAGCCATATAAATAGATGTACAACAAACCCAAAGAAAACTAATCATTAAAAAAAAAAAAATCGAATGACATGGTGATGCATCAAGACCAACAGCCGGCCACGCAACGAGAGGCATCAAGTTTACCCTTAAGATGCGTGACTTATCATTTCTGCCAACTTCCCCCATGCATGAAATCGCGGCAATCCGTTCCAGGCTCGCTCTCAGCGGCTTATCACGACAGCCGCACCACACACGGGATTTTCGCCGCTCCGGCCGGCATTACGAGCCGGCTTATATTGATGCCGATTGTACTTACCTTGTGAAAGACAACTCTGGTTTTATTCTGATGTCATGTAAACTGACAAAGCCAAACTCGTCGCTTGTGTGGCACTCAAAGTCTGCAAAACAAAAAAAGCAAGCAAATGTTGAAATTGTGGCATGTCCCTGACCAAGCGTGTGAATTACGCAGATGGTTTTGTGCTTACCAATGGGATGGAAATATGGCGACAGCACCTTTGGTCGGATGAGTCCGTCACCACCAGAAATGTCTCGCAGAACGTCCCCCACCGACGACCGAAAATCATCGCTCTTTGTGATAATACCTGCACACAAATATTCATCTCCATGATGTTGCCACTGAAAAGTTCATTGTTAGAAATATGGTTACGCTTAAAAAAACAAAACAAAAAAAACAACATACTTACCAGCACTGGTCTCTGCATTTTGTGGGGGCCCAGACCAAATCCAAGGAATGTCGAGCTCGGGATGCTGAAGTACCACGCAACGGTTGATCTCGAACAATAGCTGGTTCAGTTCGTCCTCTTCCTCTGGGCACTCTGGAAGAGAGTTATTCGAAATAAATAACACAGTCGACTCTCATTAATAAAACTCCAGGAAGCCACAGACATTTGTTTGAAATATCAGAAGTTTGAATTATCAGAAATTCATCTAAATATGATATGAGGCAAAGTAGTGGTTTGCTATAGGAATAGCTACACATACCAAGCAGCTTTCTTACAGCTTTCTCTACACAAGCCTACCTATAAGCAGGTACACACATAAAACATTAATGAAGTTCGAAGCGGATAGTGGTTTTGGTAGAGCATTTTCTAACTGAATATTGAACAGTGTCACGAATGACGAGGTGGCAAACAAGGAATAACTGAGGAAACGTTTAATGGGGGCAAACTTGTGCCCAAAACAAAAAGGAAACAGATGATAACAACAGAGCGTCGCGGGCGTCGAAGTCAACGTAGCAGCAGGGTCGAACTCTGGGGCAAGACTGACTTTGGCTCGCCACGCGGGGCCCTTTTGTACATGTGTGGACTTCTGGAACAATCGGCCTAGAAGATTCGGCGCGTAGAACATTCTAACCTAGAACAAGGAACACGGTTCTCGAAATTAACAGAAATCTAAATTGAAAGAAAATAAAAGACTCATAGGAATTGAACCCTGGGCTACTGCACGAGAGTCAAGTGCGGTAACCACTCGGCCACGCACGCGCTCCCTCGCCGACGCGCATGGCAATAGTTTCTCCAAGCCTTTTGCTACTGTTGCACCATGTTTAAATGAAAATTCAGCTGAACTCGTGAAGACTGTTCTAAATGAAAATGCAGCTGAACTTGTGAAGGTTGTTCCTAACCTTCCACTTGTCCACTTCTAAGCTTAGTTTTAATATAACTATATCTATGAACCGTGTCCTCAGAAAGTTCAGCGCCTACATTGGAGTGGCATGTAAATGACAAATTCGGCATAAAATTGAATCTAAAGAGGTGCCCAGTTATCCTAATCGAGGGAATTTATAAATCTGCTTGCTATATGCAAATATTCTTCCTTTAATCTTAAATGTAACCCCCTCAAAAAAAAAAAAAAAAAATGACAGCATTTCAACGTGGTGAATGATGTTGATTGGGGCGAAGCTCTGGTGGTGCTGATGATGCTGATTTTATTGTTCATAAGTAGTGCTGATGGTGCTGCTTTTTTTTTTTATTGCTCATAGGTAGTGCTGAGTTCCGGGTTGCGTTTCGACTTCATTATTACTGCTTTATGGTCGGCGAAATGCAGAGCCAATGATTCTTCTAGCGGGTCAGCTTGGATCCGCTAGAAGCCATGGGAACGCATCTCCACCGCATAAGTCAACGGTTCATGTCAGAAAGAGAATTTGTGGTATGGAACGTGGTTATATACGTATTTGACCGCAGCGCCCTCTCGTCTATAAACGTTGAGCCAATGCATGCAAAATTTAACGCAATTATATACGCATTTGACCGCAGCACCCTCTCCTGTATAGACGTTGAGCGGCTGCATGCAATGTTTCATCCATGACATCCCCCAGCTCTTGAGTTACTACCCCATCTCAGAGCCCCCTACTCGTCCCGCAGTCATGACCGAGTGGTTAAGGCGATGGACTAGAAATCCATTGGGGTCTCCCCGCACAGGTTCGAATCCTGTCGACTGTGCAAACATTTTTTCTTTTTTTAAGAAGACAGATGGGATGGCAATCGATGTGAGCACGGACGCCGGACGGACAAGGCCCTAAGGAGCTTCGCCCCTAAAATAAGCACAAATAATGAAAGCAGATTGTCAGGACAGTTGTCCTTGCATAATTCCAGTGGGTTAGTCTCACCGAACACCCGCAGTATGCGGGTGCTCGGTGTGAAGCGCGCTCAACGGGGCTAACCTGCCGCAATAAACAAATAGAATGAATTAAGCGAAGACGCTGTTTGAATTAAGCAGCCTATAAATGCATCGAAAACATAGCGGGACAACCAAAATGTTTCAATTGGTTAGAATTAACTGGAAGTATGAAATATACAGGTTTGAATTACCACGAGTCCACTGTATACAAATAACGTTGAGGAAAACAAAAAGTATCCAATTAGCTTTTTAAATGTTGCAGCCTTTGTGGAGCAAGTTGTGTGCATGAGTTGGAACATACTTGTACCCCTTCACCATTGGAGTAGGCAACCTCATAAATTACTCGGGGGTCTACAACAGCACCTTGTCTGTTCTTATGAATGTTATGTGCAATAAACGTACCATCAGAATCGAATAAAAGGCGAACGACGAAACGCGTAGCCTTCAATACGTGCTGCACTCTCTGGCGGCGATATACCAACACCGGAAGGGGTTAGTATATCGCAAGCTCTTGCAGTCCCCTCTCCACTCTACAGCTTTATTAGTCTCTAGGTGGCGCAGAATGTATAGAAGGCCATGCATTCTGGCGTTTCCATTTAGAACGTAATAATGTAAACTAGTGAACATGTCACTCCAGAGGGCTTAGTACTAATCAAAATTTGTGGCAGATTTTACAATTTGGCAGATTGTTTTCTAAGGACTCTGTGTGAAAATATCCTTGGGCTAGCGAGTTTTTGTACATGCCCTAGACTCCTTGTTTTAGAGCATTGTGACCTTGCATTTCGGACTCCCTTTTTGTTTAGTACGAGGAAGGTAGAGTCTATTTGCCAAAAAAGCAAAAAAGCTTTGTAGTGCAAACATTTAAGTATATTATTATTTCCCATTGGACAAAAAACAATGCTATTTAAATGCCTCAAAATAGTAATCAGGAAAAGGGATGAATCAAACCGACAAAACCCAGAAGCTAGCCTTGTTGCCAAATATTTGAGCACCGTGAAAGCACCAAGCACTCAAATTCTATAGATAAAATGTTAGGGAGGCTGTCAGACTTGCTCCCATTCTATACACGAATTCATCTCTGTTACGTCACGGCACGGTGGTGGCGCGTCAATCGCACTTCCGGCCTGGGGCTCTGGGCAGAAGTCCCCATGCGAGACGTGTATTCCTGCAATGTTTTGAAAGGAACCTGACAAAAACCTGCCTTTTCGTCAAAACGCCACGACTGGGGCTGTACTCAGAGTCGAGAACGGTTTGAAGGCCAGTTTTCATGTGCTCGGTTCGTCCGAGAAGGTGGATATGTGCCGTGAAAAGCGAAAACCAGACGCCGTCGGACCACGATTGCTTGGGCGGGAAGCACTTTGGATTGAATTCACGGATACTTCTGGTCATCAGATTTATTTGTTTTGTTCTAACATGAACGGCGAAAAACCGCGAAGTTGTACGGACCACCTGCGGACTACGTTCAGTGCGTCTTCCAAGTTCAAACGGCCGCTTGACTGTTCGAACTGTCGTCTGCACTTTCAAACGTTTCTGCTAGTCGTCTGCTCTTTTAGACGACACCGGCTCACAGACCAAACGTGGGCCCCGTACTTGCGATAAGAAGTTGGTTGGTTTTGGGGTTTTTCGGCGCAGCAGCATCGGGGCCATAGTGCGCCAGAAACATTGTGTAAAGGAAGCCTACATTCTTTAAGGACTGACTAAAGCCTCAAAGCGGACCTTACTAGGAACTAGACTTATAATTTCCGCAGAATATTAGTTTCTTCCAAAAAATTTAAAACTTGTGAGACTGGGACAAGAGGCTCGTCACCCAGTAAAAGAGCCAAGTGAAATGGTACATGTTCCCGATAGAATATAGAAAAACAGGTTCGACGGTTCTCTTCAAAGTGTGGACAAACTATCAAAATGTGAAGTATACTTAATGGTTCAGAACAGAAGTCACAGGTCGGTTCACTCTCTCTACGTAAGAGGTAGCTATGGGTAAGGTGGGTATGTCCTATTCTCAATCGGCATAAAACTATCTCATAAAAACGCTCTCGGTGTCTGGCACTGCGCCACTCGCTCAGGATGGGCTTAATCATATGGAGTTTGTTTTGCAGCTGGGAATCCCATTCCCTCTGCCAGGCATATTTTATTTGCCTTTTTAGTGGTACTCAATAATCAGTAGCAGGGATGCTGTTATAGTCAACTGTCCTATCTACACACGCAGAAGCTGCACGGTCAGCTAGCTCGTTGCCTTCTATGCCAATATGGCCAGGGACCCAGCAGAATTCTATCTGTATTTTCTTTGCCAGTGCTTGTGTTAGTGTATTACAAAGTTGCACAAGCAGAGGGTGCTTCCAAAATGTTGGAGAGTTGAGTGCTTTCAGTGAGCTCAGAGAGTCGGAGAAAATGACAGACTTTCTATATCGATGTCTGACAATATGGTCAACTGCAGTTATCAGACCATAAAGCTCGGCAGTAAAAATTGAGGCATTTTCGTTTAACCTTTTTACAGATCTGTAGCCCTTGCCGATAGCAGCACAACCAACGTAGTCTGTGGTTTTTGATCCATCAGTAAAGAAGTGCTTGTAGCCATTGTACGAGGTACACAGCTCTAGAAATTCTTGCCTGAGAACACAAGGGTCAACTGTATCTTTTTTGTGCTTGGTCAAAGAAAGATTACAACAAGTATTGGCAACTTTCCAGGGTGCAGTTCTTTGTTGAATTTCAAGGACAGGAGAGAGAGCATCAAAATTGTATTGTTCTGTAGCAATTCTTACACGTAGTGCAAAGGGAGGGGTTACAGATGGTTTGTGCTGAAATAAGCGCTCATAGGTTACGTTTTTAATTATTTCACAAGCAGGATTTTGTGGAAAAGAACGGAGTCTTAAAAAGTACTGAACAGCGAGAAAAAGTCTACGTCTCTCGAGCGAGCACTCATGCGATTCAGCGTACAGGCTAAGTACCGGCGGCGTACGGAATGCCCCCGTTGCCAAACGGATCCCCTGGTGGTGAATAGGATCAAGCATCTTGAGGGTGGATGGTTTCGCAGATCCGTAAACAAGGCTTCCATAATCCAGGGTAGAGCGCACTACAGCCCTGTAAATTCGTAAAAGACATACCCTGTCCGCGCCCCAGGTGCGATGTGAAAGAACTTTTAAAATGTTTAGTTTCTGCTGGCATTTCAGTTTCAGTGCCTTGATATGGAGGCCGAAAGTAA